GCGAGCGACCTGGCGCAGCAACAACTTCAGCAGCAGCAGCTGCAGCTTCTACAGCTACAACAGCAGCAGTTTCAAAGCCTTTCTACTCAGAACATGAATCCTGCTGATCTGGCGGCCTTACAACAGCAACAACAACTCGCCCTACTTATGATGCCCATGTTCCCACTCATGATGCCTTTACAACAGCAGGCGCTTATGGCGTCATCAACAGGCACAGGGATGCAAGAAGATTCTGCAACGACACATTCTGAGGCAGTAACGACGTCTGGAGAGCCGGCTGAGTCAGCACCAGGAGGCGATGCCTCGCTCGAGTCACTGGGTCTTACACCGCCTTTTGTAGGAACTGATGGATTTGGATTGCTGTCAGGGACTCCCAATGCATCGCTGAATATAGAGGAGGTGCCTAAGCGAAAGCGAGGTAGGCCACCTAAAAAGGATGTGGCAGCACGAGCTAAGGCTGAGGCAGAGAAAACACTCAAGCAACAGTTTCCTATGTGGGGGTATGGTTTGCCAATGCCTTTGCTGCCTGGTTTTCCAGGCCTGCTTTCAGGCATGTCAAACCCTGGTGCTGTCGTAAAAGATCATAGTGCAGTAGATGATCAGGTGTTAAAGGATGAAGATGAAGACGGTGAGCGCCCTGCCAAAATGGCGAAAAAGAAGCAGCGTGGAACAGGGAAACCTCGTGGTCGACCACGTACGCGTCCTCGCCCTGGTGAAATTATTCGCCGAGTAAAGCCGCTTCCGATCGCCCCTGCAAATTATTCGGTCATGTACAACTATTCTCTCTCCAACTTGGCACAGAAACCCACAGAGCTGAATGCTGATGGTACCACTGCGGACACAGAAAGCAAGGACGATGCACATGATTCAAGTCGTTTGGCACCATTAAGCGCATCACTTTTATCAGGAGAGAACGAGTGATGATGCTGACAGCGGCAATTTACATGATATATGATAATTTACGCTTAAATCTTATGGTGGCCCATACACAAACTGGAAGTGGGGCTTAGCGTTGATATCTAACCACAAGTGCGAAGAGCAAGCAGAAACATCAGATAGATAAACAAGGAAGCTCGAGGCACATCATTTTTTCGGAGTATGTAACTAAGTACAAGGTAGAGATATAGCCAAATTAGTGCTCTAGAAAAAAACTTCTTCGTCACCTTCGTCGCTTACTGCATCACTGTCGTAATAATCAAAGGTGTAGTCGTTCATATCATCACCTAAATCCTCTTCAACCTCGTCTATATTGCCATCGTCTGCATCCTGCTCAGCTTTCTTGGCCTTGTCTGCTGCAATTTTCTTTTCTTGAGCTTCTAACGACTTGAAAACTGTGTCGAATGCACGAGGTTGCATAATTCCGCGATTTGAGACAGCCGCTGTCATTGTGCGAACGCCGCTTAACGAGTTCGTACGCAGTTCCTCAGGGACGTACACTTCGTCATCTTTTCTCGTCTCTGGTACTGTCACATGCACAAATGCCGCTAAGTCGCTTGCATCATGCCCACTTTTCGAGCCTGTCCGACCTCCTTCCCATGGATGGTACAAATTTGCGAGCTTATGCGCTAAGATACGCTGTCTTTGGATTAAATATGCGTCACGATCAACAAGCGCCTCGGGCTGTGGCAATTCGATTGGAGGATACAGTGATCCACTAGCTTCGTTCTGCGAAACAACATTATGCGATGAGCGAGTAAATTCATTTGCTGAGAAGTTGATATTCGTACGTGCAGCTGTTCCATTTGAGTATACGAGAGTCCTATATCTTCACGTGTTTCGTCTAGCAGGTCAGTCAACATTGAGTCTCGGCTTCCACCGAAGCGCACACGACCGCGGCCGCGACCTCGACTCATGGGAATTGTTGTAGTTGGAAATTGATTCGCTGCAAAAGATTATCATAGTTCGGTGATTGAGTTTTAATATGAAAAAAATACAATGTAAAAGGAACGTCTCTACTTGTTGTCCTTCATGTCCAAGGGGTTTAAGAACGCTTATATATTTACAGCATATTAGTTATCCCACTACAGCCAGACCATTGTGCAATAGCACCCTTTCGAATCTTGTATAGAGATGCTGATGGCCCAGGGCATGCAAAGTCAGAAACAGTTATTCACGTTTTAGATGCGTCCATCTCATCAAGCGCTAAACCAGTTGCAGAGCCGAGGTGTTCTTAGTGTCTCTGCGACCCCATTCCAACAATGCTCGTAAAATGACTCATTCTTAAGCAAATACGATACATCCAAGCGAAGCATAAATGTGTTGTGCTCACAAATTATGAGCAGCAATCAAGAGCAGAGCCGAAAAAATTTGAATAGTCTCAATTACCTCCATAGACTAAAAATCATACCTACAATTTACATCCACATAGCTTGAACTTAAACGTCTTTACGTTCCTTTACAAACTTTAAGACTTAAAGGAGTTGTTTCGTTAAGCTTAGCAACCATGGCAGGCACAGGTAATGGCGTGTCTGGCTCAGATGTTGTAAATGTGTTGTTCATGGCTCTTCCAGGATGTGATCCACCCATATAAGATGGAAGAGATGTAAGCGGAATCCCATGATTCTGTGCTACTTCTAAAAACGATTTCATGTCTTTCTGCAAATGACACAGCAACAAGTTCAGTGTACTGCATCGGAGAGAGAAAAAAATGTGGTGAATACGTACAAAAACTTGGATCTTTTCACGCGTTTCAGGCTGGATGATAGCCGAAATTACCTTCCAAAAGCTGTAAAAAATGAATGGTGCATTCACAACGTATAGACAATGCAGTGTCTCTGGGTAGTACAGCTGACCCACATCAAAGATCGGCTGCAAATAGACACATGTAAGCCAAATTTAATTGAATAATAACACTTAAGTGATGTACCTTCAGTTGACTCAACACAGACGGCGATAAAAGCTTCATGCTAAGACCTTTCAAGTCAACAACACAAACATGTTTATAGACTCTACGACCAAGTCGCTTTGAAATGGCGGCTTTTTCCCATTGAATGCGCTCCATGTATTGCCATCGGTGTGGAATGATCTCGTTAATACTCGCAAACGTCCTGAATAAACCATCCGGGTTTATATCGCTGATACGGTCCACTGTTACTAAATGGCCTTCGGAATCTTCGCCGTAAACGTAGGTTGGCCAGTGTTCATTGTACAGTTTTGATAAAGGCAAGTCGCGGCGAAGAATATTATCGGCATCGTGAGCAGCACGTGCGTTCAGAATCTTCCTAGTCTCGGCAATAGTAGTTTGCTGACGGTGCTTTTTCACGTGTCGGTATGCGCGAGCCACACGAATAGCAAGATCATCGGTACAATTGTCACCAAATTCTGCTTTCACAGCTTCAAAAAGCGGCTGATCTTCAGCTGATAGGGGCTGGTTTTCTTCATTGTCTTGCAGCGACATGATGCTCAATTTTTATCAAAGAGTTCCAATTGACAAATGCCAGCATGGATGGTCATCGTTAGGTTGTGCCAAAAAGCCAATTTGATGTCTTTACGTTCTGACCATAACTGACGACGCATCCAAAGAGTCAGCGTGCGCATATATTTATAAAGAGTCAAACATAAGGTGACAAAGGTCGTCCGGCTACTAGGTTTTATATATCTAAGTACAATCTGACCGTAAGCCCATTACATCCTACACGCTGTGGCTCGCGATTGATACTGTAGACAAAACGGTCACAGACGAGTAACCTCCCAGTCCTCAACTGTGCGTTCTAGCACATCTTCTGGTGCCGTGTCAAATGGGCCCGTTTCTAAGGATAAACAGCCACAAAAACATCAGAAAGTCATGCCTCAGGCCAGATAGCAAGTGTTGTGGCAGCTATGGAGCGGAGAAATGACAGCAATGACGCACCTGTTCGCCGTGGATTGTGGCGTTCCTTTAGGATAGCTGGCTTTGGAATAATTGTACCTGTCTTCTTCGAAACCCGCACCTTTTCACCCTCATCCGTGTAGCGAATAGCGATTCGCGTGGGTTTACCGATAGATGGATCCACGAGACTAACATTGCTATAGTGAATGGGAGACGGTGAAAGGTAAGAGCGGCCAGCAGTTGCAGGTGTTGCCTTCACGTATCGGTGTGACTGTAGATAATTAGCAAATAGGTCAGTCGACAAGACTTTTGCAGGACTTGGTGTGGCCTTGCGGGAGCCTTTTTGCGCGACGCACCATATTGACATTTTCTACAATAACCTTGTTCAAATTGCGTACAACGCTGACAATCTCGCCTTGTGTGCCTTTGTGGGGTCCTGCAATGATTTCGACCTACAACGAGGAATGTTCATATGATATGTCAGCCGAATTCGCCTCTTAATCTTTGAGAACTAGCACCTTGTCACCACGATACATATGCCATGTCTTTATCAAGTCAATTGGTTTCTTTTTAGTGCGTGGGCCGCGACGGAAGGCAAGCGGAATGCGGGTGGTCATCTTCACGTCCTGAAGAGCTCTCTGTCCACATACACAGGGCGTGTAATTCTCTCGTATGATTGGACAAAATGATATTTTATCAACAAAGCTAATTTGTTTAAATTTTGACTTTACTTGTACACAGCTGAAACCGGGCAACCACCAGAAAAGTCGAGGAAGAACGAATTTCGTGCCATTCGATCCAGCTACAGAACCATAAAGGAGAAATCATCATGGCTGACGTCGCAGAAAATCAAGATCTACCACCTGTCGGTGATGCCACCGTAAACCCGCCAGCCGTACCAGAAGATGTGGCTGCAATGTTTGATCTGAAGAAAAAGAAGAAGAAATCTAAAAAGGTGAAGAAAGAGGTATGTCTGTGGGCTTGCGTTATTTATTAAGATAATACAATACTGAGTCGCACATAACATATAGAAGAAAGAGAAGTCGGATGATGTCGAGGATAGTGCAGATGCCATACCCGATCCCAGCTCGGTTTTGGTTCAGGACCCCGCTACATATTCTTATAAGGACGAATTGCTTGCGCGTATTATGGCCAAGCTTCATGAGAATAACCCGGAGCTGACAGACCGCAAGCGACATACCATGAAACCCCCGCAACTTATGCGTGTGGGTACCAAGAAGACGCTGTGGGTGAACTTTCAGGAAATCTGTCAGATGATGCACCGATCACCCGACCACGTGCTACAGTTCACACTGGCCGAGCTTGGTACCGAAGGCTCAATTGATGGCAATCAACGTCTCGTTATTCGTGGCCGCTACGTACCGAAGTATATTGAGTCCCTGCTTCGCAAGTACATTACGGAGTATGTCTCGTGCCAAATGTGCCGCTCACCTAATACCACGCTCACACGTGACTCAGTTAGCCGCCTTTACTTTGTCCACTGTCAAGACTGCGGCTCGTCGCGATCTGTAGCTGCCATCCGCTCGGGTTTCCACGCTGCTACCCGTGCTGATAGAAGGGCTGCCCGTAAGTAAGACACGTTGCTGTCTTTCAGTTCAGTCGCTCCCACGCTTTACGCGCAATTTCTGGGGGAGGAAGAAAAAGTTAGAGTAAATTTGAACACTGGATCGTTGCACTGAAGTAAAACAATCTTCTATGTATTTGACTGTCGACTTGTTAATGACGGCGTTTGACCTTTTTAGACTTGTGCCCATAGCCAGTATCAACAGCAGCACGCTTCGTACCATAACGTGAGATTACAATATGTCGCTCGAGCCCAGAACCCACACTTTCGTGGGCAAGACCTAGACGCTCCGCGCAATCATGAGCTAGCAGTCGTTCAAAGCCGTTCAAATTTGCGTCCAGGTGCAGCTCGTTATGCTCAGTTGAGTCGAGAAAATCCTCTATCTTCTTCACCAAAGTGTGCGAGCTGCCATCCGAAATACCACCTTTATTTGAGTGTAATTGAACCTGCTTTGGAGGCTTGACAGAAGCAGTAACGGGAGAATCTTCATCCTCGGAAAAATCCGAAGTATCTGAATTTGAGACGACTCGCTTTTTAAAAGCCGAAGTAGCTTTTAGTCCCGCTGTCTTTGATTTCTTACGAAGCTTAGCGTCTGCTTTTCTGTGAGGATTTTCATCGAATTCGGACGACAGTTCTATTTCGGAAGCTGACAACGGTGCTGAGGTTGGTCTTGAGTCTTCATTCTTCGAGCTTTTGAGTTTGTATGACAATTCCCGCTTCGACTCATTTGCATTCACGAATGAAGATTTCAAAGTGGACTTGCTTACAATGAAGTCTTTAGATTTACACTTTTCCTTCCTTGCTGATGAAAGCTTCGAGGATTTCCGTTTGACGTCCTCAAAGTCTTCTTCCGATTCCGTTACGGAAGCTTTTACAATCGATCTAGCCTCATCCTCCGATGGGATTGCTGTACGTGGTCGATACTCTTCGTTTTCAGAATCGGATGAATCAGATGAACTCGATGATTCCGATGAATTCGATGAATCCGATGAATCCGAAGATTCCGAAGAATCCGAGGAAAACTCAAGTTGTGGAATGCTTTCGACATATGGCACGGGGTCTCCGATGTTGGCAACTGGAACAGATTTTGCTTTACTTTTTTTCATTGATGTCATCTTTTCATCCTGTTTCAAAAGTGTCAGCTCCTCGGCTTTCTTTGGCAATTTATCCGTCGCAAGCACATCCAATAGCTGGGTGCGACGATGTTTTTGCAGGCTTTTAAACTTGTGCACAGTAGTATCGCATGAGGCACAGAAAGGAACATCGCACTGTTCGCACTGCACGCTGGCAGTACTAGACTCGCACTCGCCACAGAGGGGCATTATTCGAGCCGGCGACAGCTTTATCTGCTTGTGTTTAGCCATCACACGTGCACGATGCACACTTAAATTACAAGCGTCACAATAAAGCGAGTTGTCGCACTTCTCGCACTGCCAAACAGCAATGCCTGGCTTCTCACATTCAATACACACACGAGTCTCTACAACCTGTTCAGGTATAGTCTCGCTCTCTTCTTTGGTCTTAGTGACAACAGTATCTGTTGCTGCCGTTTTTGGCACAGGATCGGCTTGAGGCGGATGGACATACATGCAAGCATCACCTCGATCACACAGACCATTTACGAAGAATTGACATAATTTTGCGGCTTTTCCCGATGGTAAAGAATCTTTTGGAAGCCCCATGACGTGTGCAAATGTGCAAGCTGATCCTTTTGCACAAAATCCACGAGAAAAATGACGGCAGAGCTTAGCGGGTGGAATCTCATTAGCCACTGACGGTACGGCAACGGGTTCAGCTGGTTTTGACTCCTTAACTTTCACTGTCTTTATTTTTGGTATCCGCGGAGGATTCGCAGCAACTGGATCAAAATTTGCATACCTTGCGTCATCTGTTACGTGGTAATACTTGCATTGGTCGCCCATGCGACAAATACCAGCAGCAAAGCTACGACATGGATTTGTTGTCTTTTTCATTATGCGAAGTAATATTGCCTTGATGGTCTTGCCGTACACAACAGAACCATTTGTTGCTTTCACGGCATTCATTGCGTGTTTTCTTTGCTTGAAGACAATGTGACTGCAATTTCATGCATGATAAATTAGTCACAATTTTAACAACATGAGTGTATTTACGCACGCCGAGTTCGTTCCGTTGTGTCGAATGCGCAGGATAGGGCCGTACGTTCTGTACATATCCCTGAGAATATCTTCATTTATCTCAGTGCCAATGCCTGAGAGTGCAATAGTCGCGTCGTCTCCTACTTTTACCATTGCGATGAGTGCCAATGGAATTATGGCTGGTAACCATTAGATAGTCATTGTAGCGAGGTAACTTAAAGACGCAGTAATGACGGATGGTAATCAAGGTGTTGAGAGGAGTGGACAAGAACAGGAACAGATACAGGAAGAGGAAGAAATAAATGCTGTACAGATCGACAGCGAGACGAGCAAGGATATCGGCCATGAAGATATGAAAGGATCAATGTCACCTTTTGTGAAGAATGGAGAGGAAGGGGAACAGAGGGAAATGAACAATGCACAGATGGACAGCGAGACGAGTAAGTCGGATGGCCATTTAGAATCGGACAAACTAGTATTCAAAGATCCACTGTCGACTGCGAAGATTGATGAAAGTGATGAGAGTGATGAGAGTGATGAAGACAAGGAAGAGCTGCTGGTGGTTTTGGAACTGTGTGATTTTAAAAATCATCCTTTGTTTGACGACTACAGTTCCGCGACACTTGAGGTGGGTAAACGTTTTTACAGAACTTTTAACGTTCATATCTGAAATTTACTGGGTTTGACTGAAATAGGGCATTGACACAGCAAAGCCGATGCTGAAAATTGGAGAATATGAATTATATGGACAACTTGAGGAGACCGTTGGCACGACTTACTTTTACGATACGGATACATCTGGTGTGTCGAACAAGGAATACCAATTTGCAGGCCAGACAATTAAGAAGATCAAGTTTACCATTGCACCACCCGAAGATTTGTAAGCTAGAATTCTAGAGGATTTCAGTAATCTTTATCTAAAATATGTAAACAACAAATGTGGCAAATGCCATTTGCAAATTCTCAAGTGACCCACAACACCTTCGGGGTTTATGTTGCAGGTTGTGCATCGGCGATTTCTCATTTTGCACAACAACAGCTTTGAACAGACGATAGATTCACCGACCACCCCTAAGATGCTCTTAGTTCAAGAGTAATATATCAAAATGTATAGCTAACTTGAGGGCTAGATATTTACTATCGATCATAACAAAACGCAATTCATCTAAAGAATTGCAAACGTAAAACTCGCGCACACGGCGCACGGCGCTTCGATTTGAGCTAGAACAAGAGATACTCGAACGAATTGTAGCCGATCTGTTTCAGCAAATCGAGCTGTGTCAATAACTCTTCCACAGCGAACCTCGTGGGGGTAGGTGAAATCTACTAAGCTATTCATGAAATAGGTGCAAAACATGAGCGGCGTAAATTTGTGGGAGCATGTCGCTTTGCGATACTGCTAATAAATGACCCGCTGTTGACTACCTCAGCGCAATTATAATTAATATGTTGTGTGTAGGTATAACACCGTTCTTCGAAGTATAACAATGAATCACCACGAATAGTACTCGATATGAACGAGAGTGATGGCACTCTATGTAGAACTACGCGAAGCGCTATAAACGATTTTATTCTTACAAATATAGTAAAACAAATGTGTTTTAAGAAAAGCACCGATTTTTAGATGTTTTGGGCTACCTTGAGTGCAATCGATGAGCCCATTCTTTCCAATTGTGATTTTTTCTGTGCACTTGCGCCTAGTAAACCACTTTGGAAACTTCCCAAAACGTCGCATTTATTCATTTTCGCTACCTTCAGGTGACCGTACCCGACACTTTGTACTTGGCAACACATTCTGCACGAATAACAGCAATTATGTTCCTATCATCCCCACAATGTCTACGGCGTCGATACAACGTCAAGGCGTCGATTGGTCGTGGATCTTGCAATGTGGACGTACGCTTGGGTGTTGACACAGAAATTTATTGTAGCGATATCGTACCACAATTATTGCGTGGAGCGGGATCGTCCATTGCGAAACGCCTCACGCCGAAGCTCACACACATGATGCTGAGTCATTTCACTTCAACGTGGAAGATCACTTTCGCCAAGTGACAGGCGGTTGGAAGCTGTGTGACCGCAATCGCAACACGGTATGAACTAAGAACTGCCTCACAGCTTTTGGGACACATGTAATAGAACGCGTTTGGACGAGCGTCCATGCTTCCCTTTGAATAATCGGAAGCAGAAAGCTGATGAGAAAGAAAGCTGATAGTTACGACCACGCCATTGTCAAATCTCGAGTTATTAAAAATAAAAGGAAACAAGTACTGTCTAGGGAGCCTATCACTACGGAGAATTAAATTGTAAAGGTCAGTATTACGGTTGAAGTGGCGCATTTGAGTATACAAACGAATCAATTTGTTTGATCCAAGAGTGCCACTTTGTCGGTTCAACAGAGGGACCATTGACGCAGCAGGCTAAGGATGAAGTGACAATTATCTGGCGAAAGATTTGTGGCTGGGAATCATGAGAATAAATACAAGGAGGAGGTGCATTTACATCCTGTGTAGTACCCACCTACGTACGGTCGCACAATCTTGCGAAACCCACCCTTTCTCACAAGGGCACGTGTAACCCCATTACATTCTCTTCCATTAAAACTGTGAATACCCCCAATTCACATTCAACGGTCGCCTCATACGAGGCTCACGTGTCTGAAACACCTTCACGTTCATAAAAACAACGTCAAACCTTTTCCGCTCTATGAGCACTGTGTCTACGACACACGAAGCACCCAGCCTAGCTGGTAGCGACGGCGCCCCCGGGCAATGCCCTTCATATTCTTCTACATAGGGTGCATCTCCGAAAGTCCGCGGCATCACGGGTAGCACATCCCATGCAGCGGGGCTGCTGTAGCTTTGCGCTTGAGGAAGCGTCTTTAGGTGACCGACCTTTCGTTCTTTACAAGAACCAAGTACTAGTGCAGCGGATAGCAATCCACTGCCACTACAGGTAATCAAAAGCCTTAACCAAGGCAAACGAACACTTCTGCTCAAAATCCAAAACTGATTTTTATTTTTATCCTAATGTTAAAGTTTAGATTTTCCTAAATATACCAAATATATATAGTAGAATCTAAATACAACCATAACTACTGGCTACCTAGCCCTGTCCCGTATTCTTGTGGTCACATTATGCACATCTCGTGTGACACGCACACACACACCTGTTATAAGGGTTCGTGTAACCCCGTTAAAGCCTCCCCCATTATGATTGAGAACATTTACTA